GAAGAAGGGGCTGCGGGGGTTCACAGTCGCACTGGCACTGGCACGAGGGCGTAGGCGGTTTCAGTGAAGTAAATGAATGAAAACAGCATCAAAATCGTGAGTTTTTACATTCGTGACAACAAAGAAGCCTGAAGAGATGTGTGCAAAACAGGGGAACTATTTTTTGGGTTAATGTATGGCTAATTCGAGGAGTTCTTGAATTCAAGTCCTTTGCTTTTCTTTTCTTTAAAAACTTGGATTTAATTTTTTCCTAAGAAGCTTAAATTCAAGATTTTTCTTTTTCTGTTACACATGTTTCTCAATTAGGCACAGATTGGGCAATAGGTTGGAATCCTCCCCAGCCGTTCCTCATGAGGCTAAGGTCAAGGGCACCCACCCGTGTAGCTGTCGTGTCTGTTGTGTGCTGGGAGGGCTGCCACAAGAGCAAAGAAACAAGTGCAGGTGACAGCTACTTTACAACTTTATTTTGTGCATCTTTTGGGGATCTTGTTTTCTTCCCAAGTGGCAGGGTACTCAGCTTTATTTTCTTTACCAATGAGCAAGATCTGTCTCTGCAGAGCTAAGAGAAGGAGCAATCCTGCACCTGACAGCGACAGGAGGGCTCTGCAGGAGGCAAATCAGGATCCCAGCTTTCCTAACTAGCAAGTTTTGCAGCCAAGCAGCTATTGCAACAGCTTGATCTTGGGCCGCTCTGCCCCTGTGCCCTGTGATACGGCTATTTCTTTCTTGTGAGATCTGCCCAATCTGCCCCTGCTCTAAGGGCTGTGAAAGAGCTGGCCATGTGAATCACCTCCTTTGGTTACAGCCTTACTGGAAAGGGCAAAGTTAATTTGTAATTTAATTAGGGGACCTCAGAAGCTGCTGGGGTTTCATCTCCCTGGAAAGTCTCGTGTGGGTTGCTTCTCCTGACGCTGTTAGGTTGCATTAGTCTGGTAACTAATATTGTAAAAGAAAGCCCATTTGTTTTGAATTTAGCATTGCAGCTTCCCACTGGAGCCTCGGTGGTGAGCAGAGGCCTTTTTCCAAGTCTCTCTGCTTGGTACCGAAATGCTGAGGGAATAGGTCTCCTGCATGGTTGCATACTGAAGTGCAGGGCGGTCCGAAATGCTGATGTCCAGGGGCAGCCTCTCCCTGCCACTACTCTGAAATGCTTTAGAGACTAAAGAACAGTCACTGGAGTAAAGTCCAGTTAAACTGAGAGCTATCAGTGTCCAGGGTTGCCTGCCTTAGAGAAAAGTGTGAAAAATGTCTCAGAAAATACGCTTAATTGAGGGTTTTTACTTGATATTGTACTCAAAGAGGCTGAATTTGGTTCTGCTGAGGAGGAGCCCTTGATTCCCTTGCAGGTAACGCAAACGTGCTGCATAGCCTGTTCACGAGGCAGGAACTAGCTTAAGGGCTTGTTTGACAAGCTCAGAAGCCTGTTGGACACTGCTGACCGCTTTCCGGGGGTCTTCACCAAGGTGAATTAAATCTTTTTTCCTTTTCAAAGTGTTGTGGGGTCTGTTTCCAGAGATAAAGGGTGCTGGGGTTGTTTTGTAGAACAGGCAAGGAATATGTTACCGGTTTGCCCCTGTAAAAGCTCCTGCTTTGGGATATTACCAAATTTCTCTGTGTTTTTGTGTGTGAGAGAGGCAGAGTGCATTTATTTTTCAATAAAGACAGGGTAGGGGTATGCAGCCTACGTTTGGGCTTGAAGGAGATTCCTCCTGGAATCAGTAACCCAGCTGCAGGTGAGCTTCATTCTTGCTAACTGGTGGGAAGCTGAAGCTGGGGTAGAGTCAGGCTGATTTTCCAAGCAGCCCTGCTCAAGCACCTAATTCAGCTTCTTGGGCAACCACAGCCGAAACACAGGGAGTCTGGGAGCAGAGGTAAGAAAAAAAGCTCTGGGTTCCTTGTACAGCTTAGTTATAAAACATTAAATGCCCTGCTATTGAGGCAGAGAAACCTGTGTTTGCTCTGGGAGTCAGGCTTGGGTTATTTCCTACACCTACTGCAAAATGCAAGGAAAGGGAGCTTTGAAGAGGCTTTCACAGTTTCTTGAAGAAGAAAGCATTATTGAAAGACAGTTTTGGGGGGCTAAACACTCATGTTTTGCAAGTAAACCCAGGTTTATAACCTGCAGTAGCCTTAAGGATAATGAACCAAGCTGTGCTTGACTTTCCTACCTCGGAGAGGAGGGAACTCCCCAACCCCCAACAACTGCAAAGGTGCTGTTAACTTTTTCAAATAATCTTTAGGAACCCCCACACACAAAAAGAAAATAATAAAAACAGCTCAGGAGAAGCGAGAGCTGGGTGTTCGGTGGTGGGTGGCAAGAGCTGGTTGCAAGGAAAGGGCATGAATCAAAGCTGTGATTTGAAATTGCCATTATAGAAGGGCTTGCTGTAAAGGCAAAATGCAGCTAAACCAGGAGACCACGCAGCCTGCTCGCTGCTGAGCCTCAGTACTTGTCTCCTCTCTCTGGTCAAGTGCCTGTTTTTTCATCACACGATTGACTCCGTGGCTGTTTTGTTCGGGCTGAAAGCCAGGAGCGCTTGCTGGAGGAGGTAGTCAATGCAGAGGTCCTGGGGCCTTGAAAAAGCAAGGATTAATAGGTTTGCTGCCTTTGAGCCACGCACCCAAGTCAGCATTGAATAAAGGCTTTCGCTAGCAGCTAGGCAGGCAGGCTGCAAAGCCGGGGCTGCCCAGCCCCTTTGGGGTGCCTGGCTGGGAAGCGGGGTCGAGGTGTCCCCCCCCCGAGCGTGTGAGGGTCCGGCAGCAGCCGTCTGGGCAGTCTGGCACACGGGGTGGGACCCCCCGGGTCCCGCAGCGCAAAGGGCTGCGTAGCCCACGCTCCCCGTGCAGAGCAGGGTCTGAGCAGCGGCTGTGGGCGAGCTCGTGGGGTCCCCCAATTCCTGCACTTTCTGGGGGTCAGGTGGAGCCCTGCGGCGGGGGGGGGGGGGCCCCCCCCCCCTTCCCCCCC